GCTGGGGGGCTGGCTCTTCTCCATCGGGATAGCCCTGCTGCCTCTCTTCGGGGTCAGCAGCTACATGAAGGTCAGCATTTGTTTGCCCATGGATATCGAAACGGGCCTGTCCCAGGCATACATCCTGCTGATCTTGGTGCTCAACGTTGTCGCCTTCATTGTCATTTGTGCTTGCTACATCAAGATTTACATCGCTGTGCAGAACCCAGAGCTGGTGGCCGCCAACAAAGACACCAAGGTCGCCAAGAGAATGGCCATACTGATCTTCACGGATTTCACCTGCATGGCCCCCATCTCCTTTTTTGCCATATCCGCTGCCTTCAAGGTTCCTCTCATCACGGTGACCAACTCCAAGATCCTGCTGGTTTTATTTTACCCCGTCAACTCCTGCGCAAACCCCTTCCTCTACGCCATTTTCACCAAAGCGTTTCGGAGGGATTTCTTCCTGCTGATGAGCAAGCTTGGCTGCTGCAAGAGCCGAGCAGAGCTCTACAGGATGAACTATTTCTCTGCTTATAACTCCAACTGCAAGAATGGCGGCGCAGCCACAGCCCCCACCAAAGCCTCCCAAGCATTCCTGCTCTTGTCAGCCTTAGAGAAGCCCTATCCTGCACCACGGAACAAGACATCTCACAAGGAAAATACACCCAGAGTGCCAAGTTACCCTTTGCAAGGCCAGTTGTGATTATCTTAGTGACTAGGGATTGTTTTACAGTGTCTTGAACATTTCATAATAAATAAAAATGCCAGTCAGTAATTCTTATGCAACACAACTGTTCTGACATTCGAAGTGGTGTTTTACCTTCTCTTCCTTTGTGATGATAGGTGTAGAAGGTGGCTATTAAGCAAAACTTTTCTGTGTGGGGAACCAGAAGAGTCCAGGAGTAGTCAGTCAAGTTGCTCTTGAAGCTAACAGGTACTGCAGTGATTGCAGCCTGGCTTCTTTTTCTCCAGATCTGCTTCCCTGGAGTATTTAAAGCCTGTTTGCTACCTTTCATGGCTTCTTTTTTCATTCCTATCAGCTGTGCTGGCATTGTTAGTTTAAAGAAAGAGGCACTAAACTAGAAGCCTCCATTTCATCAACAGAAACTTCCAATTACACAGCCACCTACACACAGTTAAAGAAGAGCATTCAAGCAATAGGCTGTAAAGATGTCACCGAGGAGGAAAGTTTATCTATTGAACCTTTGTCACTGGCAATTTTGCAGTTTACATTAGATCTCAGGCTGAGCTGGTGGGTAGTTAACTTACATTATTAACCCATGCACAGCCATGTGTGATCTGGAAATCACAGGAGATGCAAAACCCTCTCTGCTGCACACAGGACTCAATTTAGGGCATCACATGTGCACACACAAATCAGGTAAAGGCTACCTCTCGGCAGCAGGAGAGCTGCTTCCTGCACAAGCAAGGAAGCGCTGCCTTCTTTTCCCTCCTCAGACAGTCTCAGGAATGATTTCCACTGGTCCACTCTCTGACATTGCCAATGCCATTCAGGAATGCACCAGGGCCTCTTCAGCACACACAGTCCAACTCTATTCCCAGATGATGAAGCAGAGTAGTAGAGTAGTTACCTTTTTGTAACAATGTTTTCCCATTAAATCTCTCTTTTCTTTCACTATACATTGTCTGATGCTAAGTGATCATGCTAAATACCTGGTCCAGATTTGTGACTGCACTGCTAAATTAAGGAAGTGCAGAGTCTGATACATAAGAGAACAGTACTACTGCAATCACTTTAAACCTTTTACATTCTCCTTTTCAGCTGAGTCCTTTGCTTTCAAGTCTGTGACAGCAACTGAGTTCCAAAGCACTCCTCTTGTTGCCAAACACTGCACCACCAGCTACATTTGCTTCACATTAATGAAAGCAATTCTTTGTACCAGTGACTGGTCTATCATTAGTTCATAATTGTGATAATTAGCAATAATATCTCTGACCCACTCTTACCTTCAGCATAATGCCATGGTTTCAATCAGTGCAAAAGCTCTTGATGTAAGCACAGCTGTGCTCACGAGCAGTTCCACAGGTGGGAATGAAGCAGGATTGAGAACAGAGGAGACTCTTAAAACTCTGTGGTTTAGCAATCAATACAAATTCCATTTGATGCACCTCTTTACACACACCAGCCTCTGATATTAGCCAATGATCCAAAAGGACTATGATAGGACATCTAACTATAATCCAGCCAAAGGTACTGGTGTAAAAAAATAGCTACTAGGCCTAAAACTTCTCTGTCACCTACCTCAAAACTGATTTGTGAGACTCATTTCTTCTGACATCCCATGGAAAAGTCCTGTACATGATTTAGGACATGACAGCACAATATCTTAAGTGGCAACAACTGATTTACTTGCATTATGTTTCAACAGGACAAGACCTTGCCAGCACACCCTCCCCACCACATAACATGGTCAGGAAACCACAGGCAAGGGAGATGAGTTACAATTAACAACTGATAGCACCTGCCCTACATAAGAGCTGCAGAGGTAACAGATAAGCAGCAGTAGTCTCTGAATTTTTTTTTTTGTACCTGCTGCAAGTGCAGCGGGATCCACCATTTACAAAGTTGCTGTTTAAAAAAAACTGACAAAACATCAAATGTAATTTATATACTTAAAATTTGTCTATGCACAAAAATAAGCAAATAAGCAAAAAATAAGCAAAAATACTTTAATAAGAAATTTAGATTCACAACAGAGCTTCTCATACAAGTTACTCTTCTTATTCTATCTCATTATTTTTACTTTACCTTCTTTCTGTGCAAAGTTTTAGACAGCCATTTACTGAAGTATCTTTAAAGGCCATAACTGGTATTACACAGCTCATCCTGTCACATCTGCAGCAATATGTTTGTTAAACTGTAAGTAGCAGCAATCAAAAACATTGATTAATAAACTATTCAGATCAAAAGCACAGATTACTGTTCAAGTCACAGGATAGAACTTACATTTTAATAAGAAGCTTTTTTTTCCACTATAAAAATTCCTGACTTCAGGTGTATTTAGTTGTAAATGTCTTGTTCAAAGCTGTAATTCTTTACTAATGTTATCTGTAAAACTAGCTAAAAACTAAGTGCTCTTTAGTCCTTTTATAGTGACCAGGAAAAACAGGTCAAATTCAGAAGCACCATTCAGAGCCTTTGTGGTGCTTAGTGAATGGTGCATATCCAGTCCTGTCCCATGGATTCCTGTGCCACACTAACTCTGCTCCCAGTCTTTTCTGACATTGGAAATGGCCCCAGAGTTCATAATGTGCACATTTACAGAGCATGAATACCTCAGAGCCTGTGAGAGAGTGCTGAAACCTAAAAGCATCTATCATGTGGTAAGAGCTGCATTTTTTGTGCATTTATGGGTCTGAAGCGTAGCATCATTGCAGCTACAAGTCATCTGAATGGGGGAAAAGAAATCATACACTGCAATATTTTAACTGCCCCTGGACACACAGTTCTTCACATTCCAGCAGCAGCATCTACAAAAGACAAAAGGAATGTCACACTTGGTTCAAGTACTCTAGTTCAGTGTCCTGTCTTTGACACTGGAGAGTAGCACAGGCATCCAAAAAGCATGTAACAGACACAGTTTTAAAATAACTACTTCCTGCCTTATGGCATTAGCACAAGGGTTTGCACCATTACCAACAAGGGCTGCGGTTTTTCCCTTAATTTCTTCCATACATTCATTCTCTCCCACCCTCAGATTTTTCCTTCCCTTCTCCCAGCCTCTGCACCCTCTCAGGGATTAGAGATAAGCAAAATGTCTCATTCCAGCAGACATGGGAGTAGCAGACAGGGGGGAGGTGTGCCCTAGTGTAGCACTGCCCTTCCAGCAGGATGATCCTGCTCTGAAGCAGCCTGGCTGCAGCTTTACCATGGAATTGCCCATCTTGCCCTACAAGGAACAGGAGCCAGCCAGGGAAAAGCTGCAGCTCTGAAAGACAAGGGCCCAAAGCTTCTTTTGGGACCTTTATTTCTAGAAGAACTAACAATAAGTTGATGTTGGGAGGAATGCAGATCTCATGGTAGGATGAACTACTGCCACATGCATGGCTTGTACCCACTTCTCTAAGCAGAGTTTAAACTGAGGGAACACAAAAACAACTCTGTGCTAGAAATGCATATGAGATGACACTTTTATTATTATGCACAAATTGTATCATTCACAGCTTACTGGTCTGTAGTCCTAGAACAAAGTGGAGATGTACAGTAGCAAACTTAAATGACTTTGCATTGACAGTGAAAATAAATCACATTTTAACGTTGCATCACACTCCTCATTGCATCTCAGTAGACATAGCTAGTATAGAATAAACAATAATAATTCTCATATATTGAGAGCTCCAGGATCTTTCCCTTATTGCATCTAGAGTGCATGTCTTTAAACTAAGTCCAAAAAACACAAAGCAACTAAAAAAAAAAAAAAATCAAGAGAAATGTGCAGCTGAAACAGCCACAGGTTACAGACTTGCATAGATATTGCCTTTTTTTTAAACTCAAGTGTCTTTGAAAAGAGTAACACAACAGTGTGATTTTATATTTCAATTTATATTTCTTACCTCAGCTTTTAAGAACTGGCGAAAAAATAACAGAACTAAAACTTATTTGATTATAATCAATAAGTAGTTCTTTACTAATTACTAAGTATTTCTTTACCTTCTTGAATTACAAAAAGATGTAACACTTCAAACTTTAAAGCTACTCATTCCAATGATGCTTCTTCATTGGAAAAAATGAAATAATCAGAAAAAACAGCAAGGACAGCTGAGTAGCTAACAGTACAGTGGTTTAGTTTACAAGTTAAACAGATTAACACCACAAATTAACAACACAGATTTTGCATATTTTTTCATCACAGATTTGTTGGTTTGGGGTTTGGTTTTTTTTTCAGTTTTTTGTTGTTTTTTTTTTTAATGGCACAACAATAGAAAGTCCAGCTGTTTTACAGAAGGCTTATAAGGAAATAATGCCACAGCCTTCAAGGACTGACTGGAGTGAAGCCTCACCACTCTGCATCTCCAGTGGCTTTTGCAAAAACATGGTCTTTACCCTCAATGGACATCACTCCGTCTTTTAAGTAGAACTTCCATTTGTTCTTAGTTCGATGTATCTGATGAAAAATAATAATCAAAATTAATGAAATCACAAATATAAATTAGACCAGTCATTAAAAAAACAACAAGATGTAAGCACAACCAGTTTTACACACTTAGTTTTTATTTTAAAATAGTTATGACCCAAAATATTCAATGGAATACTCAATGGAAGCATTATACTTCAATTGTTTATAAAGAACTCCCTGCCCCCCCAAGAGAGAAACCTTCTGAATCTCATCCCATCCTGTCCCACACTCCAATCCCACAACTTCCCCCTAAAAAGTGTTACCCATGACAGCTCAACTCCAGCAGGATAAGAGAACAGTAACAGGGCAATCCCAAAACACAGCACACCTTGCAAACCAGTGTAGCTTAACTAAAATGCAATGTTTTCCTTCCCACATGGCAATGCAATGTTGCAGGCACAGAGGTGTTAGGAACAGGCTAAAAACATCAAAACTTGACTTAAAAGCAAATATTGCTTTTTTTTTTTAAGTAAGAAAGAATTTGCATATTCTGTTTCTTTTAAAATGCCTGCAAAGAGATCCATACTCCAGAAAGTTTTGTTTAATACTAAAAGAAGGAATTTTAAATATCCCTAGAAAATTCCTTGAATTCTCAGTATCAGTTTCCAATTCCAGAAAGAAAAGAAACAGGACAGCAATTTTATCAACAACATTGTTTTAAAGTTAACAAGGAAACTTAGGACATAACTGGTTTTATCTACTTTCTACTGGGCCTACACGTTTCATTAAATCTGTATTGCAAAGGGGAAAGTTACCAACATCTTCCCCCAGTTTCTGTAATTCTCAATTTCTAATAACATCTGATATTAAATTTCCTGTAAGGCATGCCCAGTGCTGACCTTCCTAGTAGTTTCTGTTAGATTTTTAGGCAATTTTTCAGCTTATTTCAGACAAAACTTGCTCTAGATAACAGTATGCACTACCTATGGCAACTGTAATGTCTGAGTTCTGAGGCTGCAACACTTGGTGTACCTTTCACTGCAATACAGACACCAATAGCTTCATTTCAGAGGCATTTTCTACACATATCCCTGTAACTTCCCAAAATAACTGGTCTCAAGAAAGGTCAATCTGTCACAGTTTTATGAAGACAATTTTCTTACCACCTCTCCATTTCCTAAACCACAGACAACCATTAAGACAGGCATAGTTAGACACACAAAAAGTTTTCTCTAGGCACTTTTGAAAGAATATTAAAAAAAAGCCAAGGCACGCTCTTAAACAAACTACAGACACATTTTTCCATATTTCCTTTAAAATATGCCCTTTTTTCCTCTTTTAAATTACTGACATGCAAGCATCCAAAACCATACAATAGCTAAAAGGATTTAATTTGATCTTCAGGAGCTCAAAGTAAAGTTGAATTTTAAACATTAAAATGAAGGTGGACAATAAGGCACTTAACAGCTACTTTGTTTCTCAGACACAACAAAATTCTGTTAGGAAAATCTCTCAGTGAGCACTATAACGACAGAAAAAAAAAGGAAAAGAACGTACATACACCTCTCTTTCTGTTATCCTTTATAAAAGCCTTAATTCACAGCTGAATATGCCTACATACATCCACAGAGATGTATGATCAACAGAGATGTTGATCTTACTTAAAAGTTAAGGAAATAAACAAGCTTTTGCATCTTTACAAATCATAATTTTGCCAGACTTCTTGTTCCCTTTTCCTTTAATAGCCCATTACGATTATCCTCTTTTCAGAAAACAGTAGGAAAGTCTTCAGACTATTGTCAGCTAAACACATCATTTAAACACTCCATTACAGCATTAGAGTTTCTTCAGAAGGCACTGACAGGAGAGCAGAGATGGATTTGCTGCAGGTATTATTTAGGATGATTAAAGAACAAAGATAAAAGTGTATTACTGTACCTTTTCATACTGACAAACGATCACATTGTCAGTGTCAAACAAGTCTGCAATGTCCTGCTCACTGACATCATCACCAGAGTTTAAGGGGTCCTAGAGATTAAAATTCTGTTTTATACACCCTTTCAGAATAGCATTGAATATACTTGGAATTAAACATTCCCAGAACAATAAAGTTACCATTGCAAAAATGAAGACCTGTGAAATCCACATTGCACCAACCTCATTTACAAGTACCTTTTACATGTTTGCATAAAACACCCTGAATAAAAACACAGGTCAAAAAAGCAAAACTGCTAAGTGATAAAGCAGTGACTGAAATACTGATGAAGTTGTATTTATGTGAAGTCCAAATGCTACAAGTTGATGCTCTTGTGAACAAACCCATAGGATACAAAATTGCATATCTTTAAGAAAAAGGAAAACCTAGGGCATTAACAGGGCATTAAAAGAAACACAGGGCATTAAACAGAGAACAAAGTTCTTGTATCACATTTTTCTCTAATCCCCTGTGGTCCTTCAGAAGGAAAGGAAACCTAGATTTGTATCCTGATCTTATTTAAATCTAATTCTTTAAATAATATCTTAAGTCAAAAGCTCCATTCCACTGAGACCAGGGTTTTACAAGAAAACTTTAATTCTGATAGCTAAGTATTTTAATTCATCCAATAACCAAATGACTTTCCAACAGTTCTTTCATTTGTCCATACTCCTCATAATGAGCTTTCAAGTAATTTCTCTGCAGTACCTCCTATCTCCAGAGGTTTGTAACTTCACTGTGCATGCCCTGCACCAAACTAACCAGGAACTGTTCTAGGTCCAACAATTCAACAGTTGAGAGATCTAATATTGTTATGTGCTTCTAAAGGCTTAAAAGTAAATTACCTCCTCAACTATGTCTATCTGGAGGTCTTCATTGTCCCCATCACTGCCGCTGGACTCTATGTCTGAAGAACTGTCACATTCTTCATCATAGTCTTCCTCATCATCCAGAACTCTTAGATCCTCTGAATCAATAAAGCCAATGAATTCATTCTCTTCTTTATCTTTGGTATGTGGTATTTGTTCCTTAGAAGAAACATCCCCGGTGCCATCGAGCTGGCTTATGCCTTCAATGTCACTGCAGAGATCTTTCTCCAGCGGCGAATCGGATTCCGCCTGCTCCGCGGGTTCCGTGGGACAGCAGTGAAAGAGACCAGGGACAGCTCGTGAGTCAACACCCCCGTGCTCAGCACAGCCTGAGGTTTGTGTTTAATGTATCAACAAGTGAGGGGCACTAGTATGGGAGTTGCAGGTCCCCCGTGCTCAGCACAGCCTGAGGTTTGTGTTTAATGCATCAACAAGCGAGGGGCACTAGTATGGGAGTTGCAGGTCCCCCGTGCTCAGCACACAGCCTGAGGTTTGTGTTTAATGTATCAACAAGCAAGGGGCACTAGTATGGGAGTTGCAGGTCCTACTGCTTGTCAAGCCTGAGTACATTTGTAAACATGGTGTTGCATCTAACATAAACGGGACCCAGGTCAAATATTCCTCAGCAATACAGAAAAAAAAAACTTCTTACCCTTTTCTCTAAACACCCTTGTACTCAAACAACTCTAAAACAAAGGCAATCAAGTGGACACTTAGAATTTCTATTGCAAAAAATAATCCTTCCATAAAAACAAAAAAGGAAGCTACTCCTCCACCCCCAAAAATAGAATTTTTCATTTTTGAAATAAAAGTCAAGAGGAACTGATCCCTCTCCCTCAACTCATTCAAAATGCTTTGTTTAAATAAGATATAAAAAGCTGGTAGAGACAGTAAATATTTCAGTAACTCAAGTTGCTGTTCATAAAAGTGACAGAATTCCTAAACAGAGCATTCACAGGAGCATAAAAGGGCTTTAAGGTTTCAGCCATCTTCAGTTTCTCATTAAATCTTTATTGTAGCACTTAATTCCCATCCACATACACTCCCTAGTTCAGGAAAGGAACACTTTGTTTTGACCTCCCATTCTCACTACAGACAGCCTTCATCATGCTGCCATCAGAGTTCAGACGAGCAACATTACACTTTCTATTTACAGACATTTGGCATTGCTGGCATTAAATTTGCATTTAATAAATTTGTCTCAATCACATATGAGCACTACAACTCAAAGTCACCAAGCCAGCCTGAACTTCAAACATCTGCAAATCATTTCTGGCACTAAAATTAGATGAGGTCAGGAAAGAGGCTTGTTAATTAAAATCACTCAAGTTTCCCACACAGCTCTAGCTGAGTTCTAGTTTATCCAGGACTTTTTCCCCAAGGAAATATATTTTCTTCAAGGAGATTTTCACTTATCAAATTTGACTTTTCATCCTGAATGCATTCTCAATACATCTTTAATACTCTTCACACATTATAAGATAAAATTAATCCCAGCTGATCCTGCAAAAGCACTTTGCCCACAATTGACCAGTATCCATATGCAGATCATGCCAGAATGATATGGAAGTTCTCAAGGAGTCTTTCATGTCTGCTTAGTCACAAAAAAACCCCAAAAGTAATCTGTAAGTCTAATACATTCTATCTATCCATTACATTTTTCCGTATTTTTAAATTGATATTCTCATCAATCACAGTAGTTTTGACAAATTCTTAATGTAAAAACAAGCAGTCAGCTACTGCTATTCTAAACAAGCTTAAGATTGAACCATAAAATCAAAATAACTTTTGTTCTTCTCATTTAGAGGTGCTAGTTGTCACTTAGAAATGTGTTCAAACAACCCCCTCCAACAGATGTATTTTCATTAGCTGAGAAACAAAAGGCCTTACCTTGTCAGATGGAGCCATGCTGCCCTGATCCTTTAGAAATGCATTTTCATCCAAACTTTCCCCTGCAATAATCAGGTCAATGATATCATCAGACACCTGCTGCTGCAGCAGCTCCGGATGCTCCATGTCCAGCTGCCCCTCCACATCCAGCAGGACACTGCTTGAGCTGCTTGCCAAGGATTCATCAATAAAAAGTCCTTCAGAGCATTCTGGAGTAAACACAGCTGTGTGAAGGTTGTCATGCTGGAATTTTTCTGTGGATTCACTGCACTGATTCAACACTGCATTAATTTCATATTCCTGCAGACTCACAGAAGGCTGCTGGACCAAGGTAGCAGAGTTCTCCAGGTGTTGTTTTTCCACATAGCTCGGTTTAAACAGCACAGCCTGTTGGAGAGCAGCCTCCTGGGGCTGCAGTGTTTCACCAGCTGCATGGGCAGCAGATGCATTCAGCTGTGTGACACTGGCAAGGCTGGCCTGCAGAACTGAAGCTTGCCCAAGGGGATGAAACATCTGCTGCACAGGGTAGTGGAGAATGCTTCCATCTCCTGAGGCCTGTGTGACCACAACAGGCACATTCACCTTGTAAAGCTGCCCTGCAGAGAGAAGAGTTTAAAACTACTTCAGCAGGTGAAACTACAGGCTCATCCAGGCCACTGACCTGTCACCACTAAAAACAAGAGCAAACACCAGGACACACTATGAGAAAAAGGACATCTGCAAAGCAAAACTTTCCTCAAGCACAATTCCAGCCCTTGAAAATCAGGCATTCAGAAGCTTTCTAAATTGTGGCTTCCAGACAGTCCATCATGTTTAACATCTCTTTTTGGGTCTGGCCTACACAGTACCCTGTGACAATAAGTTCAATAATTTAGAATTAAATTACATACTGGATTTTAAATAAATAAATAAATACCCTGGGTTTTCATTTTTCTCCATGTCATTCCAGAAACTAAGGAATACAAAATGAAACAGTAAACTATTCCATAGCTACAGGGCAAGTACATGCCTTTAAGGACATTTAGGTATTTTTTCTGCCTAAAAAAACTTTAAGTTTTTTAGAGAGAATACCTAATACCTAAAACTAATTTTAGTTTTAAAAAAAACCAAACAACCCCTAATTTATGTATCTTTTCTGAAGAAAACCAGTCCAAATACTGAATGCTTAAAGTTTTTACTATCAGTGTTAGAATTGAGATGCCAGAGCCAAGTTCCAAATTTGCCTTTTCTTCTCCCCATACACACATGCTCACACAGACAGAATCACTGGTACCAGTCTACAGGTCTCATGACATCAGGAATTATACCTGAAACAGATAACTAGAGATGTCAGTTTTCATCAAAGAACAGCTGTTTGAGAGAAGAGTCAATGACTGAACTAAGCCTTCCACTGATCACACCAAAGCAATACAAGCAGTACAGGCAGTGTTATCACCAAAAGAATGGGATCAAAAAGGTTAACAGATAGTTGGCTTTTATTTGAATAAGAAATCAATTTTGTCTCTGAAGCACCACAGTGCTTTTAGCTTTTTGAAAGCACAGAAGATTGCCCCAGAGAGACAGGGAGAAGGAGATACCTTCGTCTGGGCTAACAAAGGAAAGCACTTGTTAAGAGCTGTAAAACTGACACACCAACTAATCATTGCAGTTCCTTCCCCCACACAGCCACTACAAAAACAAAGTACAAAGAGAAGGGTTACTGCCTCTACCCTACACTTCTCATCTGTTTCATCTACTGTCCCTCGGACTGCCTTGCCACATCCCCGGGGCACTGCAAGGTTTGACTAATCCCCCTGTTACCCTTACCTGGTGCTGGCTGCAGCATCACTCCAGCTGGCATCTGCAAAGGGTAAGCAACACACGAAGGGAGAGCAAGAGTCACACCCACTCGTGGGGGCCCCTGCAACACAAGAGCTGGGCTTAGGCAGGACAGGGCACGGAGTGCCACACCTGGAGTATCCACGGGAAACAGGAGTGAGGGCCCCTCTGTGGTCATCTTCACTGGAAAGCTGCATCAAGCTTCTGAGGTTTAGACAGATGAAGAGTATTCTGCACCGACAGAGTAACAGCTTGCCCCAGGTGTTTCCTGCTTTCCAGCTATCACACTCCCTCTTTTTGTTAAGGCAACTTTTTCCATAATCCCTGCAAGTACCCACCATCCAGAAAGGTGTTTTTCTACTCAAAGTCACTTTTACCTAAGTTTATGCATTACTCCACACAGCACAGGTTTCTTGCCTAGGCCTATGAAGTCACTTCATAGTCTCTTTTCTTCCTGGGAAGCAAAGAGCTGGATATACACCTCCCATTAAATCTAGCTCTTCTGAGGAAATCCAACTTTTCAATCAGGAAACGCACATATTGCACAAACATCTTCCCAATATTATATTTCAACTTGACAAGCTACTTAGCTTGAGGCTCAGGAGGCACTCAGTAAGTTCATCAAGCTCCGGCAATCAGTGGCTGCTCCCCAAAGAAATTTTGCTATGCCCAGAGTTCCAAACTTGTCAACTATAAAAACACTCATTTTCCTTCTGGATGATTTCTACACCTCACAGATAATGCTGCTCCCAGCTTCCCTAGTGGTAGTATTTCCCAGCCATGCACTATTTTAACAACCAGTAATAAATTTTTTTCTTTTAAAAGTATATGTAGCTGTGCCATTTCCACTACACTTTCATCCTATGGGCTAAATACAGGCAGCTGTATCTTTCCAACATTTCTGGCTTCACTTCTTGCAGAACCAGTTGGTACAGCCCATCCTTTTTCATTGCTCCAACAGAAGCAGCAGTGTTACAACTCCCCCTCCTGAAGTCTATTAATAATTGGAAAACAATTTTAAAAAGTTAGGAGTCCAACATAATCAAAACTGAAGTAAAACATCACTACAGCTACATACCAGTTTTGCTGCTGTGAAATGCTGAAAACCTCTGCCAGCTTGGATGACATAAGAAGCTGTAAAAAAATAAAAAAGCCACTTTACAAAAAACATTAATTTCTTGGATACAGTTATCATTCAATAATTTACAGCAAACATGGGTGAAACGAAAGCAATCTAACTTCAGTTCATCCTCATTAGTGAGCACAAGTATTGCCTTGTCAACTTGAGGAAAACATGCAAGTAGTTTTTTCACAGCAGAGCAAAACCAATGATGCTAAAAGTAGGAAGAGTAGGATAAGATTTTCAACAGCACCCAATACTGAATTCCATGGAAGAAAAAAGGGCAAAGGGAAAACTTTCCTGGGCTTTTAGAAGCAAGCAATTTAGATAGCCTTAACTAATTTGAAAATCTCTAGCCATGGGGCAATTCAAATCCCCTTTTTAGAAATAAATAGATTTACTCACACTGCTTGGCCATATTATTGCCCTTTAAAAACTTAAGAGTAAGAAGGAAAGGCTCATTAAATATAAAAGCTCCAATAGCCTGCAAACACAAAAGTATATTCCCTTTAGTCACATGGAACTAATAAAACACCTGCCTCCAAAAATGGTTCGTTCAACTAGGAAGACTGTAAAGAAAAACAACCAAACAAACACAAGAAAGGAAGGGGAAAAAAAAAAGGAAAAAAAAGCGAAGAACCCCACTGATAAAGAATGCCTGCCCAAGCTTGAAATACACTACAACACGGATTTTCATTAAATCATCTCATATGGGGTTTGTCCTTCATGGGCAAAGGTCCTAACAGCCTCTCACTTTGGGATAAGTCTCAGCTGAGTACTACACTCTGCCACAACAATACCACAGTGGTCAGCTGGACTCTATTAAGAAGAATAGGTCCTGATGTCAGAGACTGTGTGAAAGTCAAGTACTCCGCTGCAACAGGAATGCTGCTTTTAGAAAAACTAACTGAAAGATAAACTAAAAAGCCTTCCTCTCTTCTGTTTGAGCAAGGGATTACATTTCAACAAATTGAGAAGGAGATTAAGCCCCAACCTGACAGCAGAACTGCATGGCACAAACGAGCCATAAAAACTCTGCACATCAGGACACACATTAACAGGGGAAGCAGGAGCTTAACCCTGCAGGTAAATTTGCAACTGAAGTGCTACAAGCCCTTCAGACTTGGAGGACTGCAGACAAGGAGGCTAAAACTCTCTGCTTGTTTTGCCACTGGAAATGAGCAGCTGATGAAAAGCATGTAGAGAGAATCCTATTCATTTATTAAAGTTTAATTCATCATTTACTGGTCAAATTCTGCTTTCAAATAATTACTGTTCCACATCAAGCTAGATATATGCATAAGATATATACACAAACCAAGGGTATTTCAAGTCTTCCAAAAATATCCCTAAATCAATGAGATATTCTTAAATTGCATGTACTGTGTCCAACAACATCTGACCTGCTGAAGTCTGCAAAAGGCTGTGAGAGCTGTGTGGCAGCTGCAGACTGAACCGTGGAGAACAGTGGCTGTGTTTGAAGAAGCCTTCTGTTGCTCTAGACTGTGTCACCTTCGTTTCCCAAAGCTGCAGCAAGATTATTAAGGTCAACAAGCATCAGCTTTAAAAACAAACTGCATCAAAAAAGATAATCAGGTATTCCCAGCTTTTCCAAGAGTAAATTGACTGATTGTATCTAACAAATAGGGCAGCAAAAACTAACCAATTTCAACTCCCAGCAGCCCCCCAGGACACTTGTAACTCTTAAGCCAGGGCAAAGTTTGCATGTTTTGGAGGGCAAAGAAATGGACAGGTCCATCATCTCAAAAGAAAAACATAAACACAACTGCTATTAATGCAAGGGGAGCCAACAAACCTGCTTCAAGTCTTTCAGAACCTGCTCCTCTACACCCTCCTCTGCAAAGAGCTCCCGCACACCTTCAATCACATCTTCAATGATGGACTTGTATAGATCAGGCTGCATTAGGAAAAAAATAAATATTTTCAAGTTAAGATGAGCATTAAGTCATTTGAAAAGATAGCACAAAGTCTAATCTCACCTCATAAACTGCTGTTACAAACTGAACAGCGTGAACAGATCAGTTTCATAAACTGAATGACAAATGCAAAGGTCTGCAAGTCCACTCATTCTTTTAAATCTAACACTCTAAAAAAAGCACTGGATTTGAGCCTCAAATTATTGTTTAGGCTACCAATAATTTTGTAAATGCTTAAAAAAATCCTAGAAACATTCAAAAACCATTGCTGTGCTGTATTTTCAAACATGCCTGTCTAACCCTATTGTGTCATACTGGAATCATTGCTCCTAATCTAAGGGTCAACCAATAATACAAGCTATTAAAAATGGACCCTGCCAATTCCATCAGAAGCTGAATGTGAGGAACCCACAAAAAGTAATTGAGATTTTTTTGGTGTTTTCTTTGTGGAAACAGTCTGATGCTGCATAGTAACCTAACTGTGGAAATCTGAACACTACTTTTATCAATACAGATCATTCATCTTACATTACAATAGGAGTCCAACAGAACATTTTATTCCTTCTCCCGCCCATGATGTCAGTGATTAAATCACAATCCTCCAGTCATTCCTGGACAGCAGATACACACAAGCTTCGAGATTTCTACACTCCAATGCAAATGTAAGATAATGAGCCTTTATCAATTTAAAGCTTATTAATCTTGACTCTCATTAGCCAGAATAGCCTACACAAGGTGAAAAATGAAGCTGAGGTATTTTAGGAAATCTTACAAGATTCTGGATTAGTAATTTTTTTTTTAAATATCAAATTAATATTTTACTTATCCAAAGTTGTTCTGAAGTGCAGATGGCAAACAGTTTCTTTTCAAAGAAAAGAAGATATTAAGAACTAACATGTTACACTTTCTGGAAAAAAGCAACCAACATAACTACTTTAAAAACATACTCATGTGTAATTTCTTATCAGGGGTTATCAACCTCCAAAGAGTTCCCCAGCACTTTTTCAGGATACTAGAAAGATGAAGAGGGAAAAAAAAAATTTCCTTTTGTACCTCTACACTAAAAGCTGCTGATCAGCCCATATGTCAAATGCTCTGCCTTCACTGCTAATCCAGAAGAGAATCTAAATGTAAATCTTTCAACGGGCCTATTCCTCTCCCCAGGATTGCCAAGCTACAGTGAGTACAAATATTTATTGCGCTATATAAAAATTGCACACAGCAACTGAAAAATTCAAACACCACATGCTTGCAGATTAGAGAAAAACGGTTACAGCACAGACGCTATTGTACTCCAGCTTAATATTCCTTTACACTCCTTCTCCAGAACCAGGCCATCCAGAGTGGGAACTGTCCAACTCCGGTTTTACTTGTGTGCAGTGGGGTGGCAGGAGGAGCTCATGCAGATCCATTCCAGCAAAGCCACCACGGCTCCCTCCCCGAGGGGTTCCCGTCCCTGGGGGAGCCCCAGGAAGAGAGAGGCGGCAGCGGCCAGACCCCGTCACGGCACAAAGGCCTCCGCACCGCCGGCCTGCCCAGCGTCCCTCCCACCCCGCAGCTACCCAGGGCCAACCCTTGCCACAACGCTTTTGCCCACAAACGGACATTTTCAACAGAAGAGAAATGTAAAAGTTTGTGGTTTTGTTTTTTTTTTTTTTTTTTTAAAAAAGGCTTTCGACGTCGTCCTTGGGCTTCCCGCGCCAGCAAACGGGCAGCGGCTCCTGGCCAGGCTGGGAGGCGACTTCTTCATCCCCAGAGTCCTGCAAGGAGGAGCGGCCAGACCCCGCTAGCCTAGCCTAGCCTAGCCTAGCCTTACTAAGCCTAGCCTAGCCTAGCCTTACTAAGCCTAGCCTAGCCTAGCCTAACTGAGCCTTGCCTAGGCACTCACCACGGGGCTACCGTGAGCCATGGCAGCACCAGCCGCCGCCGCAGCCCCCGCCCGCCTTTAAGGCGCCGTTGCCAGGAGGACGCGGCCGGCCCCGCCCGGGCCCTGCCCCGCCGGCCCTCAGGGCTCCTGTGTCCAGCACACCCCAAACCCTGCCGGCCCTCAGCTCTCCTGTCCACCTCACACACCCCAAACCCCGCCGGCCCTCAGCTCTCCTGTCCACCCCACACACCCCAAACCCCGCCGGCCCTCAGGGCTCCTGTCCACCCCACACACCCCAAACCCCGCCGGCCCTCAGCTCTCCTGTCCCCCCCACACACCCCAAACCCCGCCGGCCCTCAGGGCTCCTGTGTCCCGCACACCCCAAACCCCGCCGGCTCTCAGGGCTCCTGTGCCCCGCACACCCCAAACCCCGCCGGCCCTCAGGGCTCCTGTGTCCCGCACACCCCAAACCCCGCCGGCCCTCAGGGCTCCTATTTCCCCACACACCCCAAACCCTGCCAGCTCTGGGGCACATCGTGTTAAAGCCAGACCCTAAAACTCAGGGCGAGCCGCCACTGTGCGGTCTGGGCTCCAAGGTGCAGCCCGGAGCATCACCCTGTGAGCACAGGATTTATTATTCCCACTGGGGTGGGAATGAAGGAATGCACCTAGGAGAGCTGGCTGCAAACGCGTGTCGTTTTTGCTTTAATAAACCCTGAAGTCGTGATTACCTCCTAAACGGGGAGAGCTGAAGCTAAGCGTTGCAGTTAAGCAGCAGCAATCTGGTACAACTACTCAATTATTGCTTACATTTGCAGCAATCTGTTCATATGTTAATGCAGAGATCTACTAATTTAGCAGTTACTAATCTGGAAAAATGTTCATTAATCTCATATGTGCAGGAGAATATATACTTAGGTCTTTATGCACCTTTGGTCGGTGTTGCCCTGAGGCTTCTGAGAACCTAGAAATATAATCTATTTTTCGTTTCATTTTCCTTTGTTTTTCATTTTTTAGGTAGCTATGTCGTTGCACTGCTGTTTGGCTTGTGAAAAGGAGACTCACCCATTAAGCTTTAATTTTTAAGGCTTACACATCCTGAAAAATGAAAATATTTTAATGAAAATACTGTCAGACCCTTAATTAAATAGCCAGACTAACACCTACAAAATAGAAGAAGCAACACCCTTAATAAGCTGTGTTTTCACAAGTGAGACAAATGCAATTTGCTGTTGAAGTAATTTTTCTCTGCAAGAAAATATGTTTAATGACACTGCTTAAGTCTTGAATTAAACAGCAGTTGCATATTCAGCTGTTCTGTATGCCCTCCATCATTGTGAGGAAAAGGCAAGCCATGTTGCTTTGCTTACAGAATAACTTAAATAATAAACCATATTTTTTCCTAAGGCACAGTGCTCATTTGAAACTGCCTGGGCCAGTGCATACCAGAAGTGTCCTTATTCTTCTCCTGACTTTTTTCCTGTCATGTTAGCAGAGATAGCAGGAAGGAGCTGCAGCCTTGAGGCTCTTGCTGGGCCCTGAAGGTCGCAGATGGGGATCCTGCAGCTGGCTGCCACCTCCTCATCAGGCAGCCAGACCTGGCCCAGAGCCATCGCCGTGCCAGCACGCTGTTCAGGGCTTCCAGAAAGGTGCAAGTGCAGGGAGAGGATCCATAAATGAGCTCTCTGCTTTCTACCCCCCTATGTTTATCTCAGGGTTTACACAGTGCCTTAGAATCAGAGCAGTTTATACACCTAACTTCCAAAAGAAGGAGAGCTGGGGAGTTTGGTACCAAAGGACTGCTCAGCTCTCTCAGATGGTGGTCAGGTGGCTTTGCCTATGTCCACAGGAAAATTTGCAGACCAAAGCAGATTATCCTTACTTGAGGTGGACAGCATGTGTCTGTATTTGCATTCCCACAAGGCACTGTGGGCATCCCCCATCTGTTCTAAATGATACCGTTGGATTGTGAATAACAAAGGGCCTGTCACTAGGTCATGTCAGCTCCCTTCAAGCTGGGACAGCAGATAAACCTACTTATAGTACACAGATATCACTGGGGATAAAGTAGGAATGGGAATACAGCTTTCCCAGCTGCACAGGGAGGATGCAGAGGGCACTTCCTGCTAACCAAGACACTTCTGTTTTCATCTGTGGCCTAGCAACACACCTTATATAATTTCTTTTACAAATTCCTAGGGAAGGTATCTTTTCATCCAAGCACTCTCAGCTGAACACCATGAGAAAGCCTGGTATGCACAGAAAAATTCAGTCATTTCTGAACAAGGGGAAAAATATAAAAATATCTGTGACTAGCATTACTCATACTGACTGGCTAGCTTTGATGTGGTGAGCTTAACCTACTATCCATGTCCTGCCAAAAGTGTTGTCATTTTCATGCTTATGGAAGTTTTTAACATTTAATCCCACTTTTAAGAGAAAATACTGAGGCACAGACCCACCAAAAATCTTGCCCAAGGTCACAGATGGCACCCAGGAACAGCATCAGGGTTTCATTAGTCTTGGTTCAGCTTCCAGTCCAGCTCTCCCCATTGTAGTCTCTTTAAGGGCTCACCAGAGTTTTAGAAAAGAAAATATTAACATGCTGTTCAAACCCTCCTGATTTTTCTGGGGTTTTTGGAATAGTGCTGCTTAAGGGCACCTCAAACATTCGTTTACTAGACAGATTTTAATTTGTAATTATTTATACTCCTTTTGGTACATGATGTCTAGAGAAGATTTATTTTTGGACGATAAGCCTTTATTAATCATTAAAAAAAAGAAGTTACCATTTTCAAATGTCTTCCCTCTAAGAAACAGAGAACCCTCAGCACACTCAGATGCTTGGTCATGAATGCCCTCTCCTGTTTAAATCCAGCATTGCTGCTGAGAGGAGCACAGCCATACAGCTGCAGGGCTGCACAATTCTTTCTCAGGGCATATTATACAAAAACCATCTTGCCTTTTCTTTCCAAGTAAAGGCAATCATTCTTAGGAGGAACTGGTTGCAGAATCCAGGCAGTCCTCATGGAGATAACATGACATGAGCAGAGATGTAATTTCATTTTAAAGATATCCTCTAATGTGTTGCCTTTGTTTTCAGCTGTTGACTCATAGATATATGGCACTCCAGCCTCATAATCAATTTTATTAACAGCGTGATTTTGTTACAAGCTCCATCATTTCCCTCAGAGTTCTGAGACAGATAATACTGGGACTTGTGATTTCTTCCTTTTTCATTTATCATGTGTGACTCCTGTTTCTTCAAGAGCCTCTCTTTTTCTTTTACCTGATTTAAACCACTTTATCAGAGCTATAGAAAGACCTCTCCCTTAATTCAATGTAATGACAAATTTTCAGGACATTGGGTGGTTTATGAAGGGCTCTGACCTGTACAAACTGCTATATAAAAATGGCAGTGTGATGGATTGAATATACTGAAAGGTACTGTATATCTCAGCTCCTCAATAAGCCCAAAGATTTGTGTAGTATCAGTACACCTAATTAAGGATGAAACAAGCCTTTCCTCTCCTAAATACTCACCCTGATACATATGCCTTATGTGGACAGAAAGCCTCAAAGGGAAAGAGCAGCCACCTGGGGTAGGGAGGGGTCATTTCACTGTGCTTTTTCTTGTCACACTCCTGCTGATGTCAGGCTCAGTGCCCAGCCCCTGTTCCCTCACCTCCTTTGCTATCTGCTTTCTTGCCCTGGGTAGGATGTACAGATGTGTATTTTTTCCCAGTGACACCCCAACCTCCTGACCTGCATCCTAAGAAAAGCCACAGTCCAGTTCCCTCCTCTTTTGTTCATTGTCTTTGCCTTCATGGCTCTTTAAGTCGTTTGCCATCTGGTTTTACCCTTTTTGATCAGTGGATGAAATCTCACCCCTTCCTCACCTGTCTGTAATTGCCACTCATCTGCTCCTTGCTCCCTGGCTCCAGTGGGGAGGGATTAGCTTCTAGGGGGTGCAGAACCACACAGAGGCAGGGTGCAATGGGAGAATAAATGCCAGAAACATCATTTCTCCTTATTTGAATTGGCTGATGGAAGTTCATTGCTGAGCAGATGATTGCAGAAGTCCAGCAGTTTTAGTGTGAAGTTAAATAAGAGCAGAGCAGCGTGTTTTGGTCAAGGCCAGTTTGCTCTGCCTAAGTTTGGATTTGGTAATTTCAAGAGGAATAAAGCTGAGTGACTGCATCAGGCCTTTGCAGCAGCAGTGGAATTTGCAGCACCAAGCAACCACTAAAATCACCCAGCAAGTGACTTTGAGAGACAGGCTGAAGCACAGCTAAGCAGTCAGGCTGTCCTTCTTACTGCCTCATTAATACCAATTTAACTCTGCTAAAGAATAACTCAGATGTATGGAGAGTAACCTTCACTGTCACACTGGCTGTGGGAAGCATTTATATGAGGACCCCAGTATTTGCTAAAGGTCAGATTCCTGAGCTTCCTTTTCTGAGAAAACAAGGAGGGGCTCCTGCTGTCCTAATACACAACTGTACACACCTTTCCATTTTTGGTTTTTTTTCTTTTCACCCCCAGCTCCACTTTTGAGTAGACCTACTCAGAGCAGATTTTTTGCACTCTCATTTTGACATTACAATCACATAATTAGCATCAAAGATATTCAGTAATGGATTTACATGGGCTAAAAAAGCCTTTTCCTGTTTCTATTCAGGCAGTGGTTGGTTCCCTCCATTTCAGATGGAGTCTCATCTAAATCCCGGTGTCATTACTTCCATTTAGACAGTGCCATCTGCTCCATGCTGCAGATGACACATGATGGTCCCTTCCCAGATGGCAGTCCAAGAAGGTTACAGTGGTAGCTCACCTCTGGATATCACCAGGCTAATGTCTAAATTCTTGCTTTAAATCCTCCCTTCTTCACAGCTGGGTTTTGTTTGATATTTTCATTGCATTCTTTACAGCACTGACCTTGTCATTTTCATGGCATGAGCAAGACTGTCCTGAGGACAGGTCAGCACTGCCAAGAGCGGTGCAGGTATGAAACAGGGATGCTCCAGGCCCTGCAAGTTCTG